AATGGTGGAATGAAAGAAAAAGAGATCTAAAGAAACCTAAATTAACTTAATTTCTTCAACCTGATGATCACAAAAGGTGCATAAACACTTCTTAAAAGGGAAATCAATTTTTGTGGTCTCCATATAATCTATTAAGATGTTCATAATATCACTGCATTTCACTGATCCTAAGATTCATAATTTTCACACTGAAACATTTAAAAATAAGTTGCATATTCCATTTGATGATAACTTATGACTAAAATTGTTAATGCTTATACTGTCTTAGTGGTATATAACTTAGATAATGGTACTTTTCATAAGCTATGATGTCTCTGAATCCATGAAATGTACTTTGTTACTTACTGCCTCTAAACATTTTTTTCCAAACTGACTGTAGTGAGTTGAAGTTCCTCCAAAAATTCATGTTTTCCTGGAACCTCAGAATTTGATCTTATTAGGAAATAGGGTCTTTGCAGATGTAATTAGTTAGAGATTTGGAGATGAAATAATACTGAGTTTAGGGGTATCCTTATAAGAAGAGAGGACNTCCCTTACAAGTTGTTTGTCTCCTTCCTAAATGCCAAGAAAGAAGCAGGGGAAATAAATAAATAATAGGTGGTCATGGATTAAAGTTTCTCCTAAAACAAAGAATATTTAGTTACTATAGATAATACTGAGGGTTATATAAATCTCAATTATTGGTCCATAAGCTGTAGATCATCATCTCTCATCTGATTTCTCACCTGCAGTCTGCTTCAAGCTCTCCGTCCTCTACTCCACACTTTATACAATTACATTTGCTTTTCTACAGCATATACTAAATAATGGCATTCTCTTGATAAAAACAAACAAACAAACAAAACAAAAACTCTACATGAAAAATTTATTATACAGCTTCACCTGAGGTTAGTTTCCACCACGTTCCCCATATTTGAGTCATATTAAGCCATTTACTCTTCCTCAAGTACTGTCAAATAAAAGACCACATATTGTTTCTATGATTGTAAAACTTTTGGAATGATTAGGGAGGTGCAACAGTGGACACAACAGTTAGATTTGGGATAATTTATTAATTCAGAAGTTTTAATTCATCAGTTATATGGCCACTGTGATTGAAAGCTGTTGAGAATGGCCAGACATGGTCCTTGCAACATGGCAGTGTTTTTTTTTTTTGTTTTTTTTTTTCAAATGTCCTCAAGTAACTCAATTAGGATACATTTGTACTGAGTCAAGGAAATGTGTTCAGACTTTGCACAGGTCTTTTTCATGATCTTTGCTTGTGTGTGTGTTTGTGCATATGTGTGTGTGTGTGTGTGTGTGTATATGAGATATTCTGTTGCAGGTGAAGTCTGGTCCTTTTATATATGAAATCCCTTTTGTTTAGCCAGAATGGAATTAAATTGTGAATAAAAATTGAAAATAGTGGACCTTGATTGGAAATTTATAAGAGCTTTCATTAAGGTCTTTCCTAAATCAAGATTCCTTCTGAATATCTTTTCTGTATATCTAATTATGTTTATGAACCTACATTTGATCTTCAGTAGTGCACTTCTATATTTTGTAGTGCCTTGATAATTGGAACAAAGAAAAAATAGACTTTTACAAGTTTTATAATGTATCTGTCATCAGCAAAAGTTATAAACTTTCAAAATATCTGAAATTTAACCTTAGATGCTAAATTTCTTATAAATATATTAACCAAATATCCACTGAGTTCTGATTATTTTAAGTTCCTTACACATAATATTTTCATCTGTGTCTGTCTGAAAGCCTATAAAACATCATTAAAAATTAAAAATAAACAAATTTAGGATTGACAAAAAATAACTGGGGTTTCAGTTCAGCAACAACTACTTTAATAGTAATAGGATGGTGTACACAATCAATAAGGTCTAAAATAAATTTCTGTAACAGTCACAGTAGTCACAATACTAAATTAACTTTACCATTCTGTTAGAATGTGATGCTACATTCTAAAAGGAATGAAAAATATTGAATATCTCTTCAAGAATTCTATCCTGAACACATAAAAATTCCAGACCTTTTCTGTGATAAGATAGAATACATTCAGCCTGATTGAAGGGCATGACAGAATATTTAAAAAATGGCACTTATATGAAAACACTTTATTAAATTCTCAAGAACAAGCTTCTTTACAATTTTCAGCATAAGTAAGGAATGCAACTTTTACCTGAGTCAAACTTGTTAGTTGCTTTCCAGAGGCATCTACCTGGACAGCCAGGCTCTCCCTGGGTACTTCCTTTCTGTAGCTACTATGTTGTAGTGTATTTCTCAGTAATAAGACAAAGCTTTATGACAATCATTTTCTGGATGGTAATGCAATTCAATGGACTAGCTATAGACTAAATATATACCCTGGTGGCTTCTTTGAAGACGGTTACAGACAAAAGGCTAAGTTGATTGGGCATGGTGAATCTCCTCTACTTAGTTTGCCTTATAATGGCATATACAGTCTTTTATTCTGAGCTCAGCTTCATTTCCCACTGAAAGGCACACATGACATATCTCTAATACACAAGCAAATACACTAAACCGTTAATATGCCTAGGATTTCAGGCCACAAATAGATATTCTAACAAAAAGAACAGAATAGAATTTGCTAAGGAACTCCAGAGACCTTACTACCTTTAGTTCATCTGATTTCTACGGATTATACATATTATTTGCCAGTGAAGTAAGGAAGACAGAAAAAGAAAAGATCTGTTAATTTCTATGCTTAGAAAATTGTGCACAGTGCAATATTCTGGAGGCAAGAAGGAAAACCAAGTCAGATATGCTTATGAAAAATGAAATAAACACAGGTAAAAAGGTTAAAAGGGAAAAATGTAAAAAAGAAATTGCATTATATTCCAGTAGGGGGCCAGTTTTCCATGGATATTATACATTTTAAGAACAATTTTAATGCAATTTAATATTAATGATTGAAAGAAGGTTTCAAATCTTTATACATATGCCTGGGGGTAAAATTCAGTTCAAAATGCAATTTAGTTAGAAAACAACATCTAGTACATAGCAAAAATTTAAATATTAAAAATACTGTCTTTGAATTTACAATAAGGAGGTGGGCGCTGGTATTTAGCAATCACTTTAACTCTTTCTTTCCAACTTAATATAAGTATTTTTAAATAATCATTTTTTAAATCTAAGAAGCAATCTATTCTCTGCAACTAGACCGATTTGCAAATATGACTAGATATATGCCTTATGTGTTCAGAGAAATTTCATTGAGAAAGTAGTCTTTGATAGAAGACATAATTCATAAAATAATATGTTTTACATTAGGTAGCTAGAACTAATGTTGAGATAGGACTTCATAAAAATTTGCAATACAGGACAATAATGTTTGATATTTGTATTTATATATACTCTACTACTTCTTACACATTTCATAGTGAGTTTAAAGAGGTTCTATTATAAAAAGACCTAAGAGTATTTGTTGCATACAATGGTCTTTTGGGTCTGTCAAAAGTGAGAGATTAAAATTGAACTTGAGACTCATAAATGCAGCAAGTTATTGAATACAACATTCAATCGATATCGTGTTTGATTTATAAGATTTGATTTACTTCTATCAGTGGACACAGATTCAAGAAATACATTTTTATTACAAAATTGAATTGCTAGTCAAAAGAATCTCTTGTTAATTTATAATCTTTAATTCTATCAAGAAAAAATAGCTAGATCACATGGGCCTTGTTTTATTATCTTGTATCTCATAAACCTAATAATCATATTCCAAAATGCATATCATTAGTAAGTTTCTCCTGCTTGCTATGTTTGCCTAAATCATGCCTAGTCAAATCCTGTCAATCTGTGATAATTTCAGCCACTCAGAATTGATTGTGTATGGCACAATAAAGGGCCAACAAAACCAAGACCTCTATTTGAAGGTAAAATCCCAGCCAGAGCCAAAATTTAGTATTCTGGCAGAGTTTCACCATCAAAGAACAGAGCTAAAGGAAGCGAGATGCTTTATAGAGAAACTCCTTAGAGGATCTGTGCCAACTAGTATCATATTATTGGCTCATAGAATATAGCATAGTACTTGGCAAATAGTAGGTAGTTAATAAATCATGTTCAGCTAATAAAATAAAATATTTTACTGGGAGATGCTCTTTGTGATTTTCACCAGAATGTCTTTTGTTAAGATACTAATTGAAACTTTCAGCATGTTTTCATGTGGGAAGCACTTTTTTAGTGCCTGTGAGTGTAAAGTTTTTGATTTTCTGAAATATATAAACAGTAATAAAAACATAGAGATTAGGACAGATATCTTAGGCTCAATTCAGATAGAAAAAGTGAATAAACAATAATGTTTATATTATTCTCATCAGACATAAATAGATGTAATAATTTATAATAGCAAGAAAAAATAATAAAAACTAACAAATTGAGTTCTCACAGTTAGTCAGAACAAGCCCTTTAGCATATTTCAATATTTCACCTAACAAAATCATTCATATATCATTATCTACTAACTTTTATTATTTCTTTTTAACTACTGAATAGTTTCCCCATTAATATCTTTACCTCTTGACGTCTTTTCAGTGAATATAAATATATAACATGGTGGCTATTTAGGGTTACTCAAAATCCATATGAGGTGTCACCCATTGTAATAAAATATTACTCAAACAAAATAGCATAACTAAATAGTATTGTTAATTAGACAGTGAAATTTTGAAAATATCAATGAAAATATAGAGAAATAGAGAAAGGAAGAGGTAATGCTTTTTAAGAAAAAAAATTTTATTCTATATATTTCAAATTATAGCTACCAAATCTTAGTGGTTTTACATAATATTAATTCAGTATAGCAATGAAAGCTAACTTATTTATAATTAGATGTGCATTTTTGAACCACAATATATATATAGGTTTAAAAAAATCTTGAAACATAAATGAAAACCAGTATAATGTTGGAAACATATGATTAATACAAAAAGTAGATAAATAGAAAATATGCATGTTATAATTTTGCTCAAATTAAGTCTACTCCAATAGCCTGGGATTGAAGTTAGGTTACAATTGGTCTAATCGACTAAGTTTGACTTAGCCCTTATTTTAAACAAAAAATAATCAACAGCCAAACTTACCAGAACATAGCTATCTTCGATGTACAAATTCATGAATAGAAGAAAAATGACAAGAACTCCCAAGAATGACACTGTAAAACGTTTTCGCAGGCATCTCATTTTATTCAGTATTTCAAAAATATGTTTCATTTGATGAAATTTAAACATTCTCTTCTGTGAAACAGAGGCACAAAATTACTAACAGTTAATTCTGGGTGCATTTTTCATCAAATATATAAAAAGTATGGCCTTAATAGAATCTCCCCCTTTAAATATTTGAGCTAAAAGTATGTTTCCAATTTTATAAATAAAATGGGCACAGATTGTTAATAAATTGACGTAAGGTCAATGCAGTGGTTTATGCCAATGTAGAGTAAATCAAAGTTGAAGAGCAAGCTTCAATATGCTTTGGTAATAATGTAAGAAAAAAAAAAGCCCTCGATGAGAAACAGAACAAAACTACAAGAGAAAAAGAGACATGTCAGCTGTCATCAGTGAGGTATAACCTTAAGGTAACATATTTGCACGTAATGAAAATGGAAAACAACAGTAGTATGGGTCTAAAATTGGTCTCCCAGTGAGTGGCAATGAAAACAGTCACTGGGAATTTGGGTGGAGTAAAGAGAAGTCAAAAAAGAAATTAAGGTTTTGGAGGTAAATTGAAACACATATTTGAAAGCTTCTGAGTTACAGTTGCTTTGTTTATTTTTCCAATGATTCTTGTTAAATCAGTGTAGATCCTACAGTGGATATTCACATTGTTTTGCTTGATCTTCTAACTAGTGGTTGGCTATTTGGAATAATTCATGGACTGTACAGAGGCAAAATGAGAGTCAGTAAGATTAGTGAAATCCTAATGTTTTTTTCCATTTCCCTCTTCTATATTTTGTGTTGTCCTCTTATCACAGATTAATTTAGATTATTGACCATTTTTTAAAATGTATAAACATATCTGGAATGATCAACAAACTGGTGGCATTATATTTTGTCTAAAATCAATAAAATGATTATCTGGAAATAGTGCCACTTGGAGTTGTGTAATGAGTTTCCTTTTATTCATCTTTAGGATGAAGCATGTATGTGTAGAAAGAACTTCGGGAAGTGAAAAAGGTGTGTACCCTAGACCCTTAGAACTATGCCCAGGACACAGCTGATAAATAATATATTTTCAATGAATTAATGCAAGAAAGAATTCAAGGATCCTTGTAAGTCATAGTAAAGAATATTAGGAATTGTGAGAAAGGCGTAATGTGAAAAATGGAAGATTTCTGAAAAAGAAATGTTATAATGTCCATTTGCTTTGGCCATATTTTTCTCAAGGTAATCTTTATTTTTCTTATTCATTTTTAGGAGTTGTAAATATATAGTTGGGTGATATGTGATAATTCAAATAGTATGAGAAGTAGTAAAAATAACGTTTTGGAGGCAATACTGATGCTTTGTCTGAAATAATGGCAAAATAGAACAAAAAACAAGAGCAAAGCCTCAGGTTGTAATTCCGAAGTGTTGATAGAGAAATGGAGATTTTCTTAGAGAATGATCATGGCCACCTAAATTTTAATATACAAATCCTCCAAATTATAATCCTCCAAAATACATTCAGAGCAGTACAGAGCACAAATAATTCTTATATGGTGTACAGTCTCATTAGAACTATGAGAGAGACAACAGTACAATCTTTGATTTACGTATAGGTGAGAACATTAATACCCAGGACAAGCAGAGTGAGCTGAGGAGCCCAAACCACAGCAAACAAAAGATTAGAAGACAGACCAAAATATGTGTCATTCATTAAACAAACTATACTGGACTATACCACAGTAAAAGAAATATCAAATATCGATTTTTGGCTAATAAAGTTCCCAACCTCAAATATAGAAATCTCCTACTACAACTGAGTCCAGGAAAGTCCGAATAATATTCACAAAAAAGAAAAAAAAAAAAAAGGCAGACTTACAATAAAAGTTACTTTGAAAGGAAAAACAAAACAGCTGTTTTCAGGTAAGGAGAAGGGACTCTGAAATTACATCAGATTTGTATTGTGCCATAAAAGAAGGAAACTCTCAAGATTAGTACAGACATATCTAAATGACACAGAAACAACCGAAAGAGGCTTCCATTGGGAAAATTTGGAAAATAGATGATCAAAAAAATGATTATGATTGTTAGTAAAATATTGAATAAATAAAAATTCATCATTAAATAGTGACAATAAAAAGAAGAGAAAGAAAAAGTAAGAATCATTTGCCACAATTAGAGGTGATCATTGCACCATCTTCTGATCCTAGAAATCGGTAATTGAAAGTATGAGCATTAAAGCTTTTACCCTGCATTTCTAGGAGGAAATGCATTTCATCCACAGTTGAAGATGGGTATTTTCAGACATTGAACAACAGGCAGCACAGGGCAATATCCCTAGGAGAAAGGAAATCAAAGAGATAAGACCCATACTTTCTTTAGCTTACTGCCAGAAGTCAGTTTTCAAAGGCAGTCCATGGAGAGTGCACTCAAATACAACCTAGAGATCTTCCTGAATTGAGGAGACAGAGTTAAGATTTTGGGGAGATCTTCAACTTAACAATGATGTGTCATGTGTGGTGAAATTTCATAAGATTGGAGAAAGAACCATGAAAAAAACAGTAGGCTAAACAGTCCCTCAGGTTTACATAGGATTGGAGATAGTTCATGTGTCCATCAGCCAAGTTTGTGTGTCCATCGCCAGCTAGATCGACCTGGACACTAAGAAGAGTCTTCAGGAGCATGTCACCATAATATTGGGACTAAATTAGCTCCTCTGGACCTGTTCTTACAAAAGCTTAAAAGCAAGCATGGGTAAGATCAAATGTAACTTATCTCCATGCTGCTATAAAGTACGGCACTCTCTAATCGCACATGAAAATGTCTAGAACTCAAGAACATAAAATTCACAATATCTAACATCCAGTAAAAGTTATCAAGTACGTAAAAAACAATATGGTCCATACCAGGATGAAACAAATCAAAGGAAAAAAAGTCAAGAAATAACACAGATGATAGAATTAATGGCAAATAATATTAAATTGCTGTCATAAATATGTACCATAGACTCAGGGGAGAAGAAAATATGAAAATGATAAGGAGAGGCATAAAAGATATAAAAAGATGAAAATGGAATTTCTAGAGATGAAAAAAAAATAAGGAATGAGAGGAGAAAAAAATGAGCTATTGAAGATATAGAAATAAAAATAATACAAAATTCTGAATCCAGAGAGAAACAGCCATCCAGTGAAACTGTTCCCTAATTCCTGGACCACAGAAAGTGTACGATAATAAATGTTTTAAGCCACTAAGTTTCAGAGTTCTTTATTAGGCAACAAAGGTAACTGATAAAGCTATCTACAGGAAACTGACTTTAAATAGGAAGACAAAATAGTGGGTTAATAATAAAAGAAAAGAAAAAAGGTAAACTATGCAAACATTAATCAAAAGAAAGCTAGAGTGGATATTTTATCTCATTCAAAGTAAATATTTAATAAGTGTTGAAGGTATCAATTTGTCAAAGGAAGAATAACTATCTGAAATGTGCATGCACCAAATAAGAGTTTCAAAATACATGAAGCGAAAACTGGTGTGAGAGGAGAAACGGATGAATAGAAAATTACACTTAGAGATTTCAATATTCTTCCCTCAATAATTGACTGAACATGTAGGCAGAAAATCATTCAGCAAGACAGACCATATTTCGGGCAAACAGACAAGTCTGAATAAATTTGAAGCAACTGAAATTATACACGATATGTTCACTAATGACAATGTAAGTACATTAGAATTCAAAGGAAGAAAGATCTAGAACATTTAAAAATATTTAGACAGTAAATAACACATGAATAAATAACTAATGGGTCAAAAAAGAAATAAAAAAAGACAGAAAAATATTTTTAACCAAATGAAATTCAAACACACAACATAGCAAAATTTTTGTAACGTAGGCAGGGCAGTGCTCAGATGGAAATTAACATTAAATACTTACATTACAAAAGAAGACATTTAAAAATCAATGATCTAGTTTCCCATATAAAAAAAATTAGAAATAGAAGAAGAAACTAATCCCCAAATAAGGTAGAAATAGAGCAAATTAGGCAAGAAGAAAGCAGAAAAAAGAAAATTTTAAAGATAACAGTGAGAAAAAGAACAATAGAACCAAATGCTAGTCCTTTGGAAAGATCCATAAAATTTATATTCTTCCAGCCAGATTGAACAAGGAAAATAAAATAGAAGACACAATTGCTAATATGAGAAATAAGACAGGTGCCATCACTAAAGAGTCTATAGATATTCAAAGAATAATGGAATATTTTGAAAAACATTATGCCAATAAATTTGACAATTTAGATGAAATGGGCAAAATTCCTTGAAATACAAAATTGTCAAAGCTTATTGAAGAAAAAAGTAGAGTAATTCTATATCTATTAAATTGAATTTGTAGTTAAGAGCACTCCCAAAAGAAAACTCCATGTCTATATGGCTTCACTGGTGAATGTTACCAAATGTTTTTAAGTAAAAAATAATATCAGCTCTACACAAGTTTCTTCAGGCAATAGAAGAGGAGTAATAATTCTTACTGTCTGAATCTACTGAAGCATATTTATTAAATTTTTATTCAATAATATTTTGTCATTTTATGAGTAATTTATAGAAGTAACAAGAAAGGAAGTAAAAACAACTTTTTTAGAAATACTCTTAAGGATGTAAATGTAAGTGACCCAAAGTTTCCAGTTTTTTTTCAATTTTGAAAGTAGATATCTCCACGATCTATAATGCCTAAACCATCCATGCCTGAACCTGGCACATAGCCATCCTGTAAGTTCAGATTCCAGAGTTCAAATTCATTTCTAACAGGCTCTTGCTTATCATTACTTTTGGTTCTTGATTTTGCACCATCAAGACACAAACTCTTAGGAACTTTGATGACTCACAATTTTGTTGAAGAGCAGACAAACTACTTATTTGATAAATAATTGTTATACATTTTCGATTTTAGATTTAGAAATACTAAGCTCATTTCTCTATCATCTATTTTCTTCCAGTCCTTGTATACACACCTGCCTCAAGCATCCATGTGCTAACAATCTTATCAGGTAAATTTTGGTGAATAAACATCAGAAAAATGAATTAATCTGGTTTCATATCCTTTTAGCAAAATAGAATAAAGTTATTTTATATAGTATTGTGAGATAAAATCCTCCCCAGTGAATGATGTTGTGAGTGAGAGTACATTACTGCCTTTTTTTCCCTGTTCACTCAGGAATCTATCTGAGATTTTTTTTATCCTCTTAACTTCACACGATCATTGTAGTCTGGAGTGCTGTTCTGTCTCTTTGCATTGGCAAAGATTTTCTCCTTGACTGAACTTTATTCAGGCTGCTCTGAGTCTGACTAGGCCCCATCCTTGGGCCTGTCCTACAGAAACCCAGTTTTAGCAAATATCCTGTCAAGAGAATTTAGCCAGAATCCCACCGTTATTGATACTTGATCAAATTTCTCATCTACTCACACCCCTCAGGTAATATCTGATCACCCTAACTTGCCTTCAGCAAGAATCCTGTTAGATCAGTTTAGCAAAGAATGACCCTACCCTCTTAGCAATTTTCAGTCCATTGACTTGTATCCTGCTCCTTGGTTAAATTTCCACTCTTCCTTGTAGTACTCAGAGTCGATGCCAAACTCTCTCTCCTACTGCAAATTCCCTTTGCAGTAGTCCCTTGATAAAGTCTACCTTAGAATTATCATGAATAATTTTTTCTTTAATAATTTTGGTGCTGTGACTTCAATAGGATCAGATTTATCACCGGACCCCCAAACCTCTCACCCACGATCCCAAGTGCATACCTTTGAAGTCTTTGTCTTCACTATTGGCTGATTGACAGGAGATCCATTGTTGATTTACACCCTTGATCCAGTGTTTCAGTTGACATCTGCTGAAGCACAGTAAGGACAGATTTTGATTCTTAAGATTCTGAACATACTATACAAGCTGGATTAGAGTCACAGACAAACAGAAGCTGGGTTAGGGTCCTAGGTTTGTTTGTATGGAGTTGGTTTAGATTCACAGGTAAGCAGCTGTTTATAAAAGCAGAGTTAGAGTCCTAACCTTCTAAGTTAGATAAGTAGGTGCTGGGCTGAAGTCTTTCTTCCTCTTTTGAGTGGGAATTTATTTCCTGACTCCCTTGGCTGGAAAAATTACCCAGGATCTTGGTGAGGCCTTCTTTTTTCTCTATTTGATCCTGTTTCCTCCTTGGTAGCTTCTCAGCCCACCAAAACTCCCTTCTCAAACTCCTGCTGACTATATACTCCACTAACTCTGCCCATTTACTCTCTTGTCATGATTTTGCTGAGGACAATTTGGAACTCCAGTGGTCTCTGGGAAACTGAAAATTTCCCCAAACTGAGTCCTGTAAGACCTCTCCCTTCTCTGTTCCTCCTTTCTTCTTTTACCACCTTCAATCTTCTCTCCAGCTCCCTTGAATCCTTTGATATGTATCCCTTCAAACTTCTCCTTCCTCCATCCCCCTGTCCTGCCAGACCTTTTCTCTTTCCACTCCAGTCCCTCTGTCACTTGAACTTTAGGTTCTGTACTCCTGTTGAGGCTTGCACGGAACTCAAGGACCTCAAAAGCAATTGCCTGAGTGTAAAAAGAGAAAAAAAAAGGGTGGGAGGAGTAGAAATAGACTGAGATTTTATCCAGAAGAGGCATTGGAGACATCCAGACAGGTGCTTAATGTCCCCTCAGTCTCTTACCTAAAATGCAGTCACAGCATCCATTAGATTACATATCCTAGTCAAAAAGAGCCTTAAAGGTCTCCTCAACAAATATTGCTAAAAAGTGTTAGCCCTCATATTGAGGAGGTAACCTTAATTTGTTCCATCTGTTAGAAACACAATTTGGATAAAAATGCAAAGTGGAGGAAATGAGAGTGTATCATTGGGTTGTTTGACTCTTTGCTAAAGTTTTGAAATGAAGGCTATAAGATCTCTATATGCATCTGTCTGTATATATGTTATATACAGATGGTCCCCAACTTAGAGTAGTTCAAATTAAATGATTTTTCAACTTTATGATGTTACAAAAGCAATATGCATTCAGAAAACACCATACCCTGAGTGCCTGTGCAACCATTCTGATTTGCATTCTCAGTACAGTATTAAATAAATTATATGATATATTCAACACTTTTTTATAAAATAGGCTTTGTGTTAGATGATTGATTTTGCCCAATTGTACGCTAGTGTTAAGTGTTCTGAGCACACTTAAAGTAGGCTAGGCTAAACTATAATGTTCGGCAGGTTAGGTGTATTAAATGCATTTTCAACTTACCATATTTTCAACATATAATTGGTTTATGAGGTCATAACCCCATCAGAAGTTGAGAAGCATCTTTATATGTGATATTATTTTATGTCTAGATGGTATTACCAAATTGCTTTATAAAATCCCTTAAAGGAATTTTATTCCAGTTGCCTTTGAGATAAATGAGTGTTCATATAGCTAAATACTCTTAAAACTCCAAGAAATATTGAAACTAGCCCAAATGCTTCCCATGTTCACATGACTTAGGTATATCTTTGGCAATTAAGACTAGTTTAACATTGTTGGATTTATAAAAACAGCTATGTCTTCTGAGTTATCAGTATTCAGTACAATATGAGCGTAATTTTATTTTTTATTCTACTTGGGTTTACTAGTTGAATAAGGTAATATTATACTTACCAGATGTTTAGTATTATAAAAACTATAAATTCAACCTTAGAGTAAACATACAAGATATAGTAAAAAGGAATTGCTTGATGCTCATTATTTCATGTATATTAAGCACAGCAGTAAAACAAAAAAAGACATGTTTTTAACTTATTCAGATTTTTGCTTTCGTAATGCTTGTCCAACATACATATACAATGGAAAAGTTAATAAGAATAACTTGAGATAATTCCCAGCTCTGTTTGGTGTTATATGTCTCTTGAAAAACAGCTTTCAAATCTTTTTGGCAACTTGCAACTTTAAAGTTATGCTAAGTTAAATTAAGTTATAGATATTCATTAAATATCTAGCTAATTTCTAAGTAAGGTGAACTACTGAAACATTTACTGCTAAGCATAAGCTTAAGTTTATATACTTTTGGCTTTTTATTTTTACAGAGAAACTAAAGATATTTGGTTCTGTTAATAAACATGTTATTATTGTTACATGAAAAATTTCTCTCTCCTGTGACAAACCCACTGCAATAGTCCCATTGACATCCCTTGAATAAAGACTACCTTATTATCTTTAACAAGTGCCACAAATTTATTTTTCTTTAACAGCATTTCTCTGTTCATTTAATAATTATAAAGTGCTTTCTTCTGTTTATATTTTTCTCTTTATTGTTATCATTAAAAACTAAAAATTCTGAATCTTCAACTATTTTCAGTGAAAGGTGAAAAGAAGATTAAAAGATGGTGTCTTTAGATTTTTATTCATGTACTTGAAAGCTGATGCAATATTTGGGGCAGCACAATACCTAAACTGAAAGGTAGTGTCATGGTGGTGTTTTATTTCAATATGCATCGTCTACCAAGGGGAATCCATTTTTTTTCTATTTTCTAACTATTTTAATCTATTCTTGAGTACAGTTAGGAATAATTCATATGTGATGAAATGCTCTCTAAGATGATGAAATCGTAAAATGTTTCAAGATATAAGAAAGGTAAGATCACCAATATCTGAGAGTGTATCATAACATTTACTCAAGGGCCTAATAGGCTTATATGTTAGTCATAAGTTATAAGGGATTTTATGCCATTTAAAGAAGAATAAGTAAATATTCACTTTGTTTTCTGGTAGAATTCTAAGAAAGCGTAAATATCATCGTGCATCAAGCTTTAAAATAAAATTACTTTAAAACAAACAAAAAAACAAAGAAAGACTAAAAATCGAATTGGTTTCAATAGACTGATGATTTATTAAAGGTTAATAGTGTCTTTTGATGATCTGTTATTTTCAATATTGATAAAGGCCAGTTTATTAAAATTCTAAACTATGCCTACTTAACTCAGAGAGATCCCCTGTTTCTTTTTAAAAATTAATTTAATTTTAATTTATTCATTTTTTAATCAAACCACGATTGATTATACTTATTTTACGGGGTATAATGTTGACTACCATCACTCGTGTACAACACATGTTGATCAAATCAATATTATTAGCATGGTCATTGTTACAAATTCTTTTGGTTCCTTCTCCTTGTGCTTCAACCTGGAAACTCTAGGAAGTTAGCGATGGCAATTTCCTAATTTGTTTCCCTTCTATTAAGAATCATTGTCCTATTCTGTCTGTTGTCCAATGTCTGAAAATTGTTGTTTCAGTCTAGTTTTTTAGTTGTTTAAGAAGAGAGGTAAATCTTGTTCCTATTTTTCCATCGCGATCAGAAGCATTCTTCTGGTTATAAAAGTTTTTTTGCTACACTTCCTTTCCTTTATTTTCTTGAAAAATATTGCTCCATTATTTTGTGATTTTATGTTACTGGTGCGACATATAATTTCACCTGCATTTCATTATAAATAACTTGGCAAATGTAAATGAATTAATTACATGGCCTAGAGACTTGTTAAATATTTTCTTCATCTTTATGGTTGATTCAGATATATCTTAATGTTATCAATCTTTGGTCTAGTACTGAGGAATTACTGGGGAAACTTTAGCAAAAGACCACTCTTGATCATAAGATTTTTAATTGTAGGTCTAACTTTTAAACAGATGTAGAGAATATGGTATAATAATAGTGAGTAAATGTTATATGTTCTGACACTGCAAAGAAAAATAATCAACTAAAAGTGTGAGGAGATAGAAAGGGGAAAGTAGAATAAGCTCATCCACATCTACACTACGTAGATAACAGGTATAAGTCAAAGACAATTATTTAAAGCAGACAAATATCATAAGAAAAAGTAAGGAAATGACACTAATGGCATAATTAAACATATTAGTAAAAGGCAACTACACAAACAAAAACATAAATATTTCTAAATATCAAAATAAATAAAAGAAAAGTATCTGGAAAACAACTCCTTAAGGAAATATATTAAATATCCTTCGTTACAGAGAATAAGTATCATATAGATTATAAAATTGAGACCAAACAAATCAGTAATATCAATAAATGCAAATAGGCCTAATTCATTTTTTTAAAAGAGAAAGATTTTGTGCACACATGCACTTGTAAATCCTAGCTCTATAAAATAAATATACCTAAAACAAAGAGATCATAAAGGTTAGCAATACAGAGATGAAAAAAATATTTTAACCAAGTATAATAAGCAACCATGATTTGCAATCCTGATATAAAATGTGGGTGAATATGGACCAAGGAAGCATAAAAGTATACAATTAAGACCATTTTGCAATGCTAAATGCCACAATTCTCAACTAAATATGAACAAACAATACAACGAGCAACTTTCTAAATCAGACACAACAGAAGATGCAAGAAGTCAAAATGTATTATGATAGGAGCCTTTAACACTTACAGCCTAATACAGGTCGAGGGGCCAAAAATTACTAAATATCACTGCAGCAAAATGCATAAATCAAGAGCTCTTATAAACATATGCACAAGTTTATGACTTCACAAACACAGTAAAAGATATTAATATTCTCAGAACCTGAGAGTTTAGTTTAAATATTAAGAAGAGAACCTGAACAATCCAATATTATCTTTAAGTATCTAAAAATGTTTGTGTTTCAGTAATCAAAGTATGTAAGTAGAAATTCAAAAAAATAGGTTCTGACTATAAACTAGTATCATTCAAAATAATCCAACAAAGGAGGAGAGAGCCACCTTCAGCAAGAGAAATGCAGCTGGCTAATAATAGATATGGTGGAAATAGGATAGAGACAAATGGAGAGGTTCGAAAGCAAGATAACTCCTAGGTAGCATGGTG